TGGATAGATATTTATGACTGTTATCTCTTCCTCTTGAAGTTTTTCCCTCACAAGTATGTAGTGACCTTCTTTATCTCTTTTGATTGCTCTTGGTTTGAAGTTCATGTTGTCTGCAAATAGAATAGCTATACCCACTTTCTTCTGGGTTCCTGTCATGTGGAGTATTGTTTTCCATCCTTAACTTTCAGTCTATGAGTTTCCTTTTGAGTTAAATGTGTTTCTTGTATACAGCATATAGCTGGATTTTGTTTCCTGATCCATTCTGCTATCAGGTTAATAGAATCCCTTAGTTTTTGTGGGCTGACCAGGTCTTCCATCTCCTGAATGAGTGTATGATGAAGGCTATATAAAAAGAGGCAAATGGAATGATTTCAGGGCTCCAGGAGGATCAAAGCCCACTCACAGAATTCAAGATTCTCTCTGGGCTAAGACCAAGACCTTCTCTGGGTCACCTGTATTTATTTGGTTATCAGAAGAATGGAGCAGAGTACTCAAGAAGGGCAAAATCACTCAAGGACTTTTCCAAGTAAGGTATTAAGTTAATCTACTCAAGAAGGGCAGAATCACTCAAGGACTTCTCTAAATAAGGTATTGAGTTAATCCACTCAAGAATGAGATGCCTGATGCTATAGTCTTTATCCAGTTGAGATCTGATCCAGGTGTCCTTTGAGATCTGATCCAGGTGTCCTTTGTGATCTTGTCTTATCCTTTGAGGCTTTGTGGCTTCATCCACTACTGCAGGTTTTAGTAAAGATTAGTGACTCACAGAGGTTCACTTATTATGAGTCCGCCATTTCCAGATAAGGAGCCTATGCCTTGGACAGGCTCACAAGTGAACATGAAAAACCAATGTATTAATTTAAGTTCTGCTCAGGTCTACTTCATAGTGGTCTCCATCACTCTGCCATTGTGCTTCTTTTGGTGGGTGTATTGAGATTGTTTATAGTGATGGTTACAACTGATATGTGTTGGCTTATCTTTGTAATGTTATTTTCCTGCTGTTTTATCCTCCTTTTTCCCTCATTTAATTGCTTGCTCTGCTTGGTGGTTCCTTTCTGTTGTTGTTCTTAAAGTTGTGGTCTGTTTTATCCCTTTCTAGAATGTCTTTTAGTACTCTTTGTAGGATTGGTTTGGTGCTCATGAATTGCTGCAGTTGTTCTTTATCCTGAAAATATTTTATTTCTCCATTAAATTTGAAGGATAGTTTTGCAGGGTACATCAATCTGGGTTGGAAGTTGTTTTCTTTCAGTACCTGAAATACTTCACTCCAAGCTCTTCTTGACTTGATGGTTTGTATTGAGAAATCTGTCATGATTCTGATGGGCTTTCCTTTATAGGTGATCTGTTTCTTTTTTCTAACAGCTTTTAATATTCTGAGCTTTTGTTGAGTTTCTGGGATCTTGATCACTATATGTTTGGGTGTAGATTTATTTTCATTATGGTTAACTGGAGTTCTATATGCTTTGTTTATCTGGATGTCTGATTCTTTTTCCATGCCTGGGAAATTTTATGCTATTATTTCTGCAAATAGTCTTTTTGTCATTTATGTTGACTCCTGCTGTTTCATTGATACCTATTAATCTTACGTTGTTTTTCTTTGCTTCATCTTGAACTTGTTCAATTGTTATTTCCTGGTTCCTTGTTGATTTTAAGAGATCCTTCCTTTCACATTCATTACTGGCAATGCTGTCTTGAAGGTCTGAAAGTCTATCTTCGGCTTTGTTCAGGCAGTTTTGCCAGCTTTCAATGGAAGTTTTAATTTCCCGGATATCTGTTTGAATCTGTTTCATGAGTTCTAGTTCTTTTCTAATTGTTCACTCAAGGTTTCCAAGAGTTGTCTATGCTCCTCTATTTTCTTATCAATGTCTTCTTTGGATATGCTGAACAATTCCTTCATTATCATTGTCATTTCTTTTTTACCTGAGACATTATTTCTGATCTGATGTATTCTATGGATCTGATGTATTCTATGGCCTGATGAGCAGGAGTTGTTGATGAAGTTGTTTCTTTATTTCAGTTGCTATCATTTCAGAAATTTCAGGTGTATGACTTTGAGGCTAGTCTGTGTTGATGTCTCCTGGACTTGTTCTGGGTAGTGTAGAAGTCGGAGATTGCATTTTGCTCCTTTTTTTTTTTTTTTTTTTGTCATTTTTGAAGATCCAGAGGTTTCCTGGAGCTCAGCCTCAGTCTTATGATTGTGTGTGAATGACAGGGTGAGGGTTTGAAGATCCCCAGTGCTCAGTGCAGCTCCTGTGCTGGTGTGTGGTGGCAAGGTGGTGTCCCATATGCTCCTGAAACTTTCTCACATTCAGTTGGCTCCCAGGCATGTAATGGAGCAACAGGGGCGGCTAACTGGAGTTCCTGATGTTGTCTGGGGTTCCGCCTACCTTCCATAAGGGTGGGGGGATGTGGGTTGTGGTCACTGAGGCTTCAGATGTTGCCCATTACCCAGCCCAGTTCCCATGCCAGCAGGAGAGGGGTGAGGGTGGAGTCCCTGAGGCTGCTGACTCTCTCTGGGTTTCAGCTGGGCTTCCAAGAGAGTGTGGGAGTGACCACTGAGGCCCCAGAAGGTGTCCAGGGCTCCACCTAATTCACACACTAGTTGGGGAGGTGTAGCAGTGGCTCACTGGGGTTGCTGAAGATGATTGGGGTTCAGCCCAGCTCCTACAGGGACCTGGGGATGCAGGGAATGGCCACTGAGGCCCCAGAAAGTGCCCAGGGCTCTGCTTGCCTCATATTCTGGTTGGGAAGGTGTGGTGGAGGCTCACTGGTGTTCCTGAAGATTTCTAGTGTTCCTTCCAGCTCCCAAGGGGATCCAGAGTTGCAGGGAGTGGCCACCAAGGCCCTAGAAGGTGAATGGGTCTCCACCTGCCTTGCATGCTGGTGGCTCACTGGGTTCCTGAAGATGTGTGATGTTCAGCCCAGCATCCTCAGGCTCACTAGGTGTGCCAGGAGTGGCCACCAAGGCCCCAGATGGTGTCTGGGGCACTGCTTATCTTGCTTGCTGTTCAGAGTGGCACAGTGGTGGCTCACTGGGGTTCCTGAAGGTGTCTGGGGTTCAGCCGAGTGCCCACAGTCACACTAGGGGTACAAGGAGTGAGGACTCAGAAGGTGCCTGGGGTTCTGCCTGCCTCACATGCTGGTTGGGGAGGCACGGTGGCACTCACTGGGGTTCCTGAAGATGTCCAGGGTTCAGCCCAGCACCTACAGACCAGGTTTTGACCATTTAGTATAATGTTGTCTGTTGGTTTGTTATAGATGTCTTTTATCAGATTGAGATAAAGACTATCCCAATTTTCTGCATGATTTTTATTACAAATGTGTGTTGGACTTTGTCAAAAGCTTTTTCTGCATCTATTGAGATGACCATGTGATTTTTGTCTTTGGCTCTATTAATATGGTGTACTACATTTATTGATTTGCATGTGTTGAACCATCTCTGTATCCCTGGGATGAACCCTACTTGATCATGGTGCATAATCTTCTTAAAGATTTGCTGTATTTCATTTGAGAGTATCTTGTTGAGGATTTTTAAAGATATTAAGAGATATAGGAGACAAAACAGAGAGAGAGAGAGATGAAGAGAAATATAATAAAATTAAGGCTGGAAGACAGAAGATGCTCACACAAGCTTTGGGAAACTGGAGAAGAGGGCAGGAGAGAAAGAACAAAGGAGAAACCAAAAGATTATTGAAGCAAATCAGAAAGGTTAGCGACAATGTTCACTCACATGATGATATCAGAAGATCAGGAGAGATAGTTGAGGAGAGAGAGAGAAGATGAATAGAACAATAACATTTATATAAATCTAAAAAAAGAAAGAAAAAATTACAACAATAACAATAACAAAAACCCCAACCAGACAATAAAAGGGAAACACACAAAG